GGTTAACGTTGCATCAGAATTTTGCCTGTTGCAGAGGATATTTTTTAAACAACATTTGGAAACTACTGTCGAAATGCTAACCTTATATGAGCGAATACAACCTTATATGAGACATTTTGCCAAACTGCTATGTACAATACATTACGGGTTTCGCGCAGATGCAGTATGTTCTGCCGACGTGCTGGCAGAACACTACTTACCTCGGAGCCATTGGCTTTCGCTCTCTTCAGCTGCTTGATGCGCCCGTCGATCCAGTAGATGTGTTCTCCCATGCGGTCGTAGTCTATGACCTTGACGTTGCGCAGCTGGTGGATGGGCAGCACGATGTCAGGACTCTGCTGTTCATCAAACACCATCCTGCTGATCAGGTCACGCTGGCTGAACAGCAGGAACGACGCAGGAGCTGGCAGAAGAAGGGAGATACGACATCAGCATGACATTCTTTTTCATTCATTTAAAGACAAGAATCTAATGCTTGACTTTTGTTCGAGAAATAGTGACTTATTCTCTACTTGATCTTTGTCCAGCCTTTGATGAAGCTCTAAAATTGCACATAAAATGTTTGCAAAAATGTTTCCTATATATACAAAGTTGCATGTTGGCCGACATTTTATATGCCATGGATTTATATCTGGACATTTTAGTGTGTATTTGCAGAAAGTATTTCTCAATTACGGAACAAAATATTGACATTCTGCAATACTGCAGAAAACTCACTGCTAGTAAAGTCATTTGAAAACGTATTTGAAAACCAGTACTGTAGATTACAGCAAATTATCATGAAAGTTCATCTGTGTTGGTAATAATCATAGTAAAATGCTGAACTTTATTCCAACACAAGGATTACACAGGGATCAAATTTTCAAAGACCACTGTCGTCTTCATCAGCATAATTAATGACCAATCACTTCACAACATAATCTAGCAAGAAAGTTACAGTTACATGGTTAATTATCCTGATGAAGGTGACAGTGGTTGCTGAAAATTTGATCTCTGTGTAATTGTGAGTTCAACATTTTACTATGATTACAGCAAATATTAGGAGTGAAGACTTACGATGGCAGGTCCTGTCGTCAGGGTCCAGGTTCCAGTGAGAAGGACATCCACACATGACGGGCAGGTCCATGGCGGTCTCCGCTGACGTGGCGGACGGCATGGCGGTGGCCAGACACAGGTGGGAACACCCGCCATTGTTTACTGCACACTGGTTCCACCCTGTGATGATAGAAGGAAAGATGACTCAGTTTTCTCCCTATAGCTTATTACTGCAAAGCTTCTGAAAATACTTTCATCAGATTGGTAAAGTATAGGATAAAGGAGGTTTTTTTTGCACCAGGATTGTGAAGCTCTGAGAAAGGTGTCTGATAAACAATGAAATGACAACACTTAGGTGAGAAATCTTGGTTGTATAAAAGAAAACTCCTGTATCCTACTACAAAGGCTTCTAATCTTAGTAATCCTAAACATCTCAGTAATCTTGCAAATAATACACAACTGTGTAATAATCAGCTTCAAAACCTGTATCAGAGAAAACACTTTCTTTTCTAAAGACATTACTATGGATACAGAAATCACAGTCAAACAGAGATCACTTGATTGTAACACTTTATCAAAGACAGACTTGTACTTGCCCTTGTTGTTTGAGTAATTAGGATTTAGGTCTTATTCTATAATTAAGGTCTGATTCTATACTTCTTTTTTGTACTTTGTTCATTTGTTGTTGCCATTCTTTGTACCATGTGCAATTGTCCTGCAATAACGTTCTTCTTCTTTTTCTTCATGTCTCAGACCTTTACCTGATTGTCTTGAGGAATGGAACACTAAGATGTCCATGATGTCCATCACGTAGTCCAGGGAACCCTGGATACGGGTTCGATTCTCGCCCGTGGTCTTGTTGGCCCGTTCGATACTCCGTGTGTTCCAGTCTGTCCAGTACACATAGTCCTGGTACTGGGTCAGTCCAAACGGGTGGGGCAAGTTGTCCGCTATCACCCGCTTACGATCGTTGCCTGGAAGGAGTTGCATAATAATAAATGGTGTTTATTCACTAAACAGTACCCGTGCAGTCGCAGCCTTTATACAGCTGAATTGATGCAGGGTGTCACATAATAATCAATACAAATCACAACAATGAAATAACACACATTATACACATTTCTGTCGCAAGGGTCTGTGCGGCTGCCAAGCTGGCCTCAATATGACTTTCCCCAACTGAAGTTAGGTACCCATTCACACTTGGGTTGAGTGAGGAAAGTTGTTTAAAGTGCCTTTCTCAAGTGGCTACTTACATACCATTTAGTCTTTCTCAAAATGATCTCTTTCTGGTAAAGACGTAAAAGCAATACAACAATGCATTCTAGCATTACAAACTGTTACACTCATAGTCATACATGTGTAAAAAAAATCGCCCCTTGGTCATTTCCCTCCTTTGCCATGCTTGCGATCTACTCCCTAATGCAAATTTTTCTAGAAAACGTGTCTTGATGTTAACTAAAAAACAAAAAAAAAAGAAGGCTGTACCTAGCATGTTAGAAGACTCTATGAGGTTGGTGTCCAGGTCTGCCCAGTATAACCGTCTCTCTGGGTAGTCGATGGTCAGTCCGTTAGCGCGCCCCAGACTGTCCACCAGGATGAACCGGTCAGTACCGTCCATGGACGCTCGCTCGATCTTTGGGTCACTGCCCCACTCTGACCAGTACATGAACCTGGATGGGAGAAAGGGGAAGTTTTAGAGAAGGCTGGCAGCTTCATTCTTATTATATTGTTTATTGTCATTTTGCACATAAAAAAGTAACATAATACGACATCTTTATATAATATCTGGGCCGCGATAACGTTCGATAACGGGTTCCGGACCGGGCCGTACTTTACGGTACGGCCCGGTCCGGAACCCGTTATCGAACACTTCCATGGCTTCCATAAAACAATTCCAACGCGTTTCGCCCTAACCGCGCGTGCCCCTTTAAAAAATTCGAATACAGAATCCGGACGTTGGAATTGATGTTGTTGCATTTTAGGGTTCAGTGGCACCAACTTTTGGCTCATCTTGCATTGAAAGGCGTGTTTACTTGGGTGGGTAAGACATAAAATACAACACGGTGTATTCCGCATTGCCCTCGGTCCCGGCCCTCCCACGAGTCGGATCGCCCTCCGGCCTGCGGGCGATCCGACCCGCGGTCGGGCCGATACCTCGTGCGATACGGAATACCCCGTGTTGTATTCTATATGTACAGCACAAGCACATCTATCTCACCCAAAGGCAGGGTCCAGTGCCAGGGACCGCGGATTGTCCAAGTCCTGCCAGACCAGGACCTTTCTGGAGGAGCCGTCCAGCCGAGCCACCTCGATCCGGTTTGTTCCGGTGTCGGCCCAGTACAGGTTGTGAGCCACCCAGTCCACCGCCATGCCTTCTGGGAAATCCAGTCCAAACTGGATGATCTTCTCGGCGCTGCTGCCGTTCATGAAGGCTCGACTGATGGACTGTGTAAGGTTTAGAGAGGGTAGAACATCAGAAAACTTGGGTTTTTCCTTGGGCCATATATTCTACAGTGGAACTTGGTGCAACAAAGTACAGTTGGGATAGATAAATAGATAGCTGAATACAAGACTTATAGTTACACTCACACTCACTCACTATCCGTTTAAAAGTTACAAAGTAGGTGTAACAGGTTATTCAGTGTAATATACATGTAGCCAGTTGCCATGCGCTAGGTGCCAGTGAAACTGGTGTATTATGCTGAAGGGCCTACATACTGGCTATGCAGATACAGATATTGTAGATACAGATATTGCAGCTATGAGAAAAAAAATAAAACACTAATCAATTGTGCTACCCAACAGCTGGTTACACCGAACGACTTGTTACACCTAACCCTTGAACATCTAACTCTAAACATTGTTTAAAGCTAACTAATGATAACACCCCTACTGTACTTGGTGACAGCAAGTTCCACTCTGCGATGATTCTAAGAAAGAATGAGTTTTTGAACACCCGAAGGCAAAGTGTACATGTATGCTTGAGCTACAATGTATTTTAGAAAATGATATAAGAAGCCATTGAACCACATTGACACCCACCTTCAGACTGACATCTGTCCAGTATATCCTGTTGTCATTGATGTCGAAGTCCAGCGCGCTGGCCTCCTTCACGCCGGGCAGCGGGATCACCACGTCGTTGTTGTTCGTCTCCAGCGATATTCTCCGGATGTCGGCGCGGCGCGAGAACAGGAGGAAGGCCTCGGGGACGATGCACGTTCTCATGTCCGTGATGAGCTCCAGGCCCATTGGACAGCCGCAGGACACGCCTGACGGCCGGTACAGACACAGGTGCGAGCAGCCGCCGTTGTTTTCCACACAAGGGTTCCAGCCTGGGGAGGAATTCACATATCCAGTCAACATTACAAGGCACCAGAAAAACGTGAGCCCTGGCGCCCCCACCCCAAAAAAATTTGGGCATACCAGCAAAAAACCAGGCACACCACTGTGAAGGTAGATATTCATACAGAACATTATATCACATGAATATTGTCTTTTCCTCATAGAAAAGTGCAGACTGGAACTATCATGATAAGAGAGCAAAATCATCATGATATGGCTGTTAAGCTTTGCCGTCTATTACATTGAAATCCTAATGCAAAAAAAGTTTTGATCGGAGTACTGGGTAATCTTACTCTGTAGACACATACAATGTAATCATGTTCCTAAAATGGGACCAGTCTGGAGGGCTGTATATCCTGATAGCTATGTCTTTCATAAATAAAAGGAAACAAAGACAACATAACAAAACAACAACAACAACAACAAAAACAATAGTGTACCATCTGTCCTCTGTACGTTAACAGCCTTCAGACCCATGAGATCAGGTAACTGATCCACGATGATCTGTCTGTCATCTCCCGTGGTCTTGTGTACGCGCTCAATACTCCGTCTCTGCCAGTCCGTCCAGTAGATATAGTTACCTGTGAGAAACAAGAAAGATTTTAAGTACAGGGCTCGAAATTCATTTTTGGGGAATACACTGGTGCACTGGTTCACCCAACCTAAAAAGAGTGCACAGTGTGCAAAATACCTGGTTGCCCAGTTGCTCTGGGCAACCAAATTTTACTTGGGCCAATCTATTTTGGAACCTAGTTAGCCCAGTGTGCTACCTGAATTTTAAGAATGCTCCCCCCCCCCCAAATCATGCCCACTTGTATCCAGCACATGCTTTTTAATTTTAGGTATTAATATAATTACTTGTATCAGTTAACTAAAGGCTGATAGAAATATTGTCAAAGGCTGATGTATATGTAACATTACTTAATTTGAGGAAAGTAATAAGTTATTGGTGGAGCAACCTAAAATTCTGATGGGCAACCTAATTTTTGACGTAGGTTGCCCACTGGGCAATCTGGTTCAAAAAAGTATTTTGTACACTGGTGCATCAAAACTTCTTGGGTGCATTATACAATATATTTAGTAGAACATGTAAACAAATGTCAACAATGATTTTATTACTATTTAACACTTTGATATCAAGAATATGCTGTATGCTACTATACATTTAACATCTTTACATACTTAAACCTACAAAAATGTTTGGGTGCACCACAGGAAAAAAAGGGTGCACAACTCCAAATTAGTGTGCAACAAGGCGCACATGCACCAACTATTTCGAACCCTTGAGTATCTTCCAAAAAGTTAGTTACAAACTAGGACAACTCGCCATTGATTGGCCAAAGGAGTGACCGTTAGCCACTGAGCTATGGTGCGCAGGCTGTGACCATTGGCCAACAGAGTGACTCCTTAACCACTGAACTACGGTTGGCCAAAGCACTGACCACTATCAAATTTTTGATGGCTAATGGTCACTCCTTTTCGCTATTGGTTACAGTCTTCCCACTGTGGGATCTACTTTTAAAGCGTCAACATAACACTTTTATTTTAATATCTTACCTAGCAAACTGAAGCCAAAGATGTGTGGAAGTTTTTCATCCACAAGGATAGTGCGCCCAGTCCCGTTGAGGTTGGCGTATTCGATCTTGTCTGTTTTAGCGTCGCCCCAGTATATTCTCCTGGCCTGGTAGTCTATGGCCAGACCGTTGGGCCAGACCAGCGAGGTGTTAAACAGAACTGTTCGATGGCTCCCGTCTAGTTCCGCTCTCTCGATTTTGGGATGCTGGCCCCAGTCTGTCCAGTACATGTATCTGGAAAGGATAAAATAAACTAGTAAAATAACTAAAAAAGTAACATTTGCAAAGCAAATGCATAATTATGTTTATCTTCCGATATGGTCTGCTCTGTTAATTCTTACTCAAACACATTCACATACATGTATATGGTGACAGGAGTCTAAATGCCTTCTATGAAATTGCAACATTATGTAACCGAACACCAGTTAATATGGTGACAGACGTCAACAAATGAGGCCATTGGCCAGGTCAGAGGTCACTGTCTAAAGAAGAAGAAGAGGAAGAAACTGGTCAAAAACAATATGTTTTCCTTCGGTATACATAATGATTTAAAATGGAGGGAGTAACAAGAAAAAAGAAATTTTGACCAGCAACCTTGTAGATTCAGAAGTTATAATACCTGAAATTCAACTGTCTAAAATAGTTGTAACAATTATATTAACATAAAAACAAACTCTATGATGTAATTATGATCAACACTAATGTATCCATGCATGTTTAAAGTTAAAACTTTTGGTCCAACACAAAAAATTCACCTAGACCTTTCGACCAGTCACTCTGGTCTTCCTCAGTAGACTGACCCACTTCAAAGAAGCCACGTGACAAGCTACACTGGGTCAGTCTACTGAGGAAGACCAGAGTGACTGGTCGAAAGGTCTAGGTGAGAGAATTTTTTGTATTGGACCAAAAGTTTTAACTTTAAACATGTAACTACCAACACAGATGAACTTTCATGATAGCATCCATGCATCCTTACCCTTCTGAGGGGTCTAACACGATGGCTCTCGGCTCGTCCAGGTTTTCCGCGATGAGGATTTTCCGTGACGTTCCGTTCAGTCTGGTGACCTCTATTCTGTCTGTGCCCGTGTCTGTCCAATACAGGTTCCTGGCTACCCAGTCTACTGCGATGCCGTCAGGATGTTCTACCTCTGTTGTGATCAGGTATTCCACACCTATAGAAGATAGGATGCTTCAGTTAGTCAATTGTTTAAACAGTACTGGTATTTGTCACTATAATTGCTATCAAATTACTTTAAAGAGTTTTGTCTTGAGTCTTGAGATCTCTTAGAAATTATTCACAACTCTTCAACCCAACTACATTATGTAAAAGTAACAAAAAATTTTAGCATACAGCTTTCAACTGATACTGTAATTCCTGATTTTTTTGTTCAATTCATACTTTTTTTTTTACAGATTTCGTGGTCACTGTCTTGTTCAAGTGTACCGTGAACTTATCATTGTTAATTTATTAATCACCCCTTTCCTAGACTTGCCATCACCGCGAAATTAATTTTTGATGACTGTAGTATTTTGCTACAATTAAGAAAAGGTAAATTACAGTACTTTGAAAACATACAATGTACACTATACTGTATACAGTGCTTGTTTAGCTAACGGTGGGGCAATAAATGCTACCTTGTGTGAAAGTGATCTCGAACCAGTTTAGCTCATTGAAGAGCTAATCTTCCACTGGTCATAACAGAGAAGACAGATGCTATGTGCAATATTTACAGGTTCTTTGTACCGGGGAAATTTGCCTAACTCTTTTCGCCAAGTACAATGAACAGTGCACAACGGCTTAACGTCCCGTCCTAAGGACTGCTACCCTAAACAGTAGTGTGCATGTCGGGTGAGCGACAACAGCCGGGATTCGAACTGCCAACCTCTTAGTCCAGAGGCAGGATCGCTAACCACTGCACTACACAAATGATCGTCAAATCCAAAACGGGAATCAAACCTGTGCCATCTAATCTCGCCCGTCTGATTGCCCTAGCCTCGTCATCAGTCCAGTACACGAACCCTTCCACCACGTCGTAGTCGATAGCGATGGCGTGTCTGATGTCATCGATCTGCAGAACCACGTCCGTGTAGTCCGGCGTGTCCAGCGATATCCTCCGCAGGTCTGTTCTTCTCGCCAGCAGGAGGATTTCACTCGCTCCTGGAGACAGGAAAAAGGAGATATAACTTCTGCATGACCTACTGCCTTTGACATAATGTAAATTACTTGATACTCGTGGTACTTAAATACTCAGCACTCAGAGTTTTTGCTGTCATTTCTGTACTGTGAATTTATCATTACCCCAAACAAAAATTAATGATTAACTGAAAATTTTTTCTTCTTCACCTGCTGCCACCGCAAAACGTTCCGCAAACATGTTCATTTTTCATAGAACTTTTACTACCGCAAATATAAAGTGATTTACAGTAATTATGATAGCAACATAGTATACACATACAAGCTTTATGGTATTAAAGAGGCCATTTAAATCAGGGCATTGCAACAATCCCTCAAAGATGGTAGGGGGCTGCAGTCTTTCTGCAACCTACATGTATGATCTACTGTTCACTGAGTCACGTGTGTTATCTTGCATGAAGTGACGTCACAGAATTTACAAAGACTGGAAAATCTGGGTAAGTCCAATTTCTTATGTTGAAAATTACACTTGTTTTATACAAACAAGCAGGTTTTACAGCAAACTCTCACATAATTTCACACTGCCGCTCCCCACAATCACAGATCATACCTGATGTAACAACTTAATGCAGAAAATGACTATAACATCCTCTTTTCTCTTTGTTTGTTGTAAGCCTTTACATACTACACTGGAAGTCTGTTACACCCAACATTCTAAGTCACTTCCGCTGCCATTATTCTTTAGAATCTTTAGTCCTTGATCTTGTAATGAAAGGCTGTAGGTGTGAAGCACGGTCTAGCCAGCTCAACTTTTTTTTCTGTTTGCCTAGGTTCATGATTGGACATGGGAGGATCATTGCTCGCAATCTAGGGGTGTAGAGTGTGTGTACTGTAATAACTAGTCGAGTTAGTTTGATCTTTCTTTATTTGCTTAGATAGATGGTTTGTATTATGTTTGAATTGTGTTTGTTAATTTCCTACTATTATTTTCTTTGTTTCAAAATTGGTAATAATGGTAATTTATCTTCTAATTTTTAAGTATTGGGGAGGGCCAAAGATAAAACATCAGGTTTCTGGCTCTCCAATGCCTGTCTATTTATTTCTCAATTACTACATTTTGTTTTATTTGAAAGGCCAACATTGTTGTTTTGATTATATGGATGACATCCTCTGGCAGCCTCAAAGCTGATGCGAGCGTGCAAATAAAAAAAAAAGTTTGGCCAAAAAAAAAAGTTGTATTCACTATGAAATCTACGTGGTTTTGAAGGTTGAACAAATGACATAGAGTATGGTATGGCGAATAATCTAGTCTTCAAATTCATTTGATGATGATGAAATTCATTTCTTTACATTTTTGTCTTTTTCGTTTAATTTTTCAACATTGGTATCATTTTCCAATGTTTTTTTTTTTAACTCTCGGTATACATTTGCTCATTTACAACTGTTTTGTATGATTTACAGTATGTTTTCTTTTTGAAATCAAACAATAAATAAACAAATAAATACCATCAGCGCAGGTTCTGTTGTTGTCCAGTAGCTTGACTCCGGTGGGACAGGCACACCTGTAGTTAGGGGTGTCAGGAGACATCAGACACAGGTGGGAACACCCGCCGTTGTTGGGCTGACAGGGATTGGCGTGTCCTGGAACAAGAAATCAAGACACAAAGGCGTCAGTTACTGACATGAAGAATGATGATCATTGTACTTGTCTATCATCAGGTAATGCTAACTTTTGCATTTTAGATGTGTTCACTAGTGAAATAACCAAAAAGGCTCGGACAAAACTCACCCACTCCAAAAGCGTAACGAATTATGGTAACTGGTCAAAAGTAAAAAAAAAGGTAAAAAATACGAGCAAAACTAAGATGTTTAAGCTATTAAACTATTTTAGGACAAAAATAAGCATATAAATTTTATAAATACTATTTAGTGTAACTTTATGTAGGTAAGGGATTAGGTATATTGGACTTGTATCTGATCAATTTTTTTCAGTACAGTATCGGTACTGTGTACCAGTACACAGCCCCAGGCCTCGAAATTAACTTTTTTCACTATTGTCCCAGAATTGTCCCGAACATAGATTTCAATTGTCCCGAACTGAAGATGGACTGTCCCAGCCTGCTTTTCAGGAAATAAGTTGATGACAAAAATAAGAAAACAACAACTGAATTTGTACAACTTGAAGTCCACTTTATTAGTAAATGTAGGGAAATACATGATAATATCATGGGCATGGCACCGTCCCTGATATTTGGAATCCCTGATTGGTCAAATTTAAATGTTTGTCAGAGTATTATATATTTATAGGCTGCCAGCAGTCTGCAGCAGGATGGATGGATCGCATTCCCAAATGACGTGGATGGTCTTAGAATTTTCCAATTGTCCCAAAATTGTCCCGAAACGTAATTTGAATTGTCCCAAGCTGAAAATTTAGTGTCATTTGACACTGGGACAATGTTAATTTCGAGCCCTGAGCCCTAGGCACAACCTGTCAAGCTAAGTCATGTTTCAAGGTCTTAAAAACAGCATTACGCATGGAAGTCACCTTGTCTCACACAGGTGTGCAGTGAGACTGTTTCCTGTTCCACAACAATTAACGACACACACATCCGCTCAGGCTCTGTTGTGTCAACACGCCCGACACCTTCCCGTATTCCAGTCACAAGTCAACTGCCAAACTCTTTTTTTTTCTATCAGGCCACACCAATTTAATTTCTTGGTTAACAGATTTTTCTAGGAAACTAATGGAGCAGGCGGGCGAAAAAAAAAACAAAACAGCCCTAGACATCCTATTATGGCCCAAAATGGTACGATAGGAGCTATGAAGTCAACACACCAGGCTGGTTCAGAATTTAAGCAATGAATTTTGAACTTTTAATGATACTACTTTTAATGATACTGGAATGACTGTAACAAGTAGTAAGAAAAGGACTGTTTTCAACTGTTCAGGGAAAAATATGAGCATTTTGCAGTTGATTCTGAATTTTTATTTTTATTTGCAAATCAGAAAAAAATGAAGTGCCGAATCCGTTAACCAAGAAATTAAATTGGTGTGGCCTCATGTGCTGATGTAAACAATAGCCTGGGTTGTAACACTCCTGGCTAATCATTGGTTTACAGCAAGGTTGCAAAGTTCTAGCAACATGCAGAAGTCCTGGTGGTGGAAAAAACGAAGATGCCGGTGTACTCTTGTTTTGAATGACTGGAGGTTACGCTACGACAGTGAGCAGGCCGCCGACACATGTTAGTCAGCGCAACTCGCGCGTGGAAAGCGGATAATTTGCCACCAGTGACAGAACTACTGTGTATGTTGTTGATTTACACACAGGGAGCGAGGGTTGGCAGTGTCTGCTGCAGTTGATTGATATTGTGATTATAACATAATTCATAACTTGTCACTCTACTTGGTCGCGTAACCGCCCAAATGTACTTGTCTGTTCTTTCATTGTATATCAGGCGTAGGAAAAAATGTGTTTCCTGTTTCCCGACCGACCCTAGAAAAAACTGCCGACCCTAGCCTTTTTTGTGTGGACCCCTGCAAGGGACATGAAGTTTCTGAGCTGATCGACCTTTTCTAGCTCCATGATCTGACACCTGAGTGATGAAACGTTGTACCATCGGTTTTCAAAGATTGACACTGAAAACATATAAATTGTCTTCATCCAAGTTTTACTTTGTTAAATTGTACAGTATTTGGATCACCAGACTCACCTCCAAATCCCCCAATACTGAACCCCCAAAAAAGATCATCCTTTGCCGACCCTAATATTTTTAGGACTGAAACAGCTAGGCCTCAGAACAAGTTGTGTAGAAAGCGGATAATTTGCCACATTGTTAGTGTCAGAACTGTCTGACAGTGTTTACTGTGGATGATTGATATTGTGATTATACCAGTGTCGTAACTTGTCACTCTGCTGACGCCAATGTGTGTTCATCCGGCGAAAAAGACGGCGCCACAGTTTCGCCAAATAAGGCCATGCTGATTTGATTATATGGATGACATCCAAGCGTGCATGAATTTTCTTCCTCCCCCCCCACCAAAAAAAAGTTTTCGACCATACTGTAAATCGTACAAAGTAGCTGCAAAATGAGCAAAAATATATGCTGTAAATTGAAAAAAACATTGGAAAACTATTGGTGATCCAAAAAATTTAATTGATGATACTTTATGTTTTGAATATCAATATTTGAAAATAGAAGGTACAAAGTTTCATCACTCAGGTGTCTGATTATGGAGCTAGAAAAGGCTGATCAGTTTGAAAAATATACAATCATGTATGTTTCTTCGATACCTCTGTCGCAGAATGCCAAAATCGATTCTAAAGAACGAGAAGAAAATGTAAAGGCATGAAAATGAAGAGTCTATTATTCACCATTGGCAATAAAATATTATGTTTAGTCATCTGTTCAACCTTCATGACCACATAGGCCTAGATTTCATAATGAAGGTAACATTTTTTTTTGGCCAAACTTTTTTTTTATTCGCATGCTCGCATCAGTTTTGGGGTTCCCAGAGGACGTCATCCATATAATCAAATCAACATGGCCTAACCACCCTTCTGTCCTTGTCCTTTCTTCACACATACATCAACAACCTGACTTGCATATCTTTAAGCAAAGCCTGTAGAAATTTATGACCAAGAATTATTACCAAGAAGCCTTGTTAGTTTTCCTTGTCACACTCACTAAGGCCACAGCAAGTAATTTTTATGGATGACATCAGCGCACGCATTAATTTTCGCCTTATTTTGGAAAGAAAAAAAAAGAAATTTTGTTCCCTTCTGACAGTGGTCAACATGCCGAAAATGGGCAAAGATGTCTGTTGCCATGACGGAAGGTGGATGGCAGATACCTAAGAAGAGAGGAGACAAGACAAAGCTCTGATTTAATGTTTTGTTTTTTTACTTTGATGCAGTGATATGTGATGCTTGCTACATGTATATGTGATGTTCCCACTGAATCAAAACCATTTGTACAATGATTGAGTCAAAATTTTAAAATGTAGGAACCTTGGTTTTTTCGCCTCGTCTTGTTTTTTTTTGCACGCTCGCATTAGATTTGGAGTCTGGGGAGGATGTCATCCATGAAATTTACTTGCTGTGGCCTAAAAGGAAGTTGATTGTTTAGGAAACTGGGTTACCAGGTTATTATCATACCCTGAAAACTAACGCCCGATTTAGACTAGAAACGGTATACCGTTTTGAAACGGTACGAAACGTTTCGCCACAGAAAACGGTTCGTCTTTAGACACAGGGGCGGAAGTGTTTCGGGCCGCCCGTGGCGCAGGATGTTTCTGACCCACAGTGACCTATGATGACCTCCCCGAACCACTTATACGGTTTGCCTCATTGGCCTTACGATACTTGTGTTTCAGGGCCTTGAACTTCGCCCGAACCTGCTTTGGGGTGCATAAATACCCCTCAGCCGCCAGCCCGTCCACAAGCATCTGTATGCCCTCCCTATTACGCGAGGTCCCCAAGCGGGATTGTATAGTTTGATTGGCCCACAAGATGATCAAGAAGCGGGTCTCATCTTGGGTCCAGACCCTCCCTTGGCCTTCTGCCATCCCTCCAGACGTAAAGGATAACAAAAATTCGAGAAATACACGATATAAAATGGCGAAAATGGACACAATCAAATATGGCGCGAATCTACCAGATAATGGACGTGCGCGGGCTTATTAGCATGTGATTAGCATATGACATGTGACCTGGTTTACCGTTTCAAGAAACCCTTTGTCTTTAGACCTAGCAAAAAGCGTTTCGGGCCCCCCGCTGAAGGGTTCTGAAACGGTCGAAAACCACGATGGAGGTGGTTTTCGGAAACGGTCCGCGAAAACCCATAACAAACCGTTTTTTCCTCTTTAGACCGGGAACGGTTAACCGTTCCGAAACGTTTCCCTGGCCAAAACCCCTTAAGCGTTTCTAGTCTAAATCGGGCCTAATAGTAACACAGCTGAGTAAATTTTTCACAAGGTACGTTTTCAATTCCGTCAAACTTTGTTTTGAATCAAATTCTAAGTTACGCTAGAGCAGACTTTTGCAACTTTTTTCTCTGTAGTATGCAAGTACGAATGACAAACATATTTTGAAGCTTACTTGTCTTGCCTAAAGGGATATGATAATACATGGCTGACCTCATATGTCTGTCACTGAAACGCCATAAATTCCCTCCATTGTGGCGTCCCAAGCCTTACGAAGGTGTGTCTACTATCAGCTAAGTAGTCCTGATACCACCTAAGACCTGAGTTAAGATATATAAGATAGGGAACGGATACGCTTGTTTTGAACTGCTTGTTTTTAAGGCTATGTATGAAGTGCCCTTTTATTTAAACTTGAGCTCCAGGAACTATGGGGCTTACAGAAATGCGTACGACTGCACCAAGAATCCAACTGTTTGGAATTTCTGTACAGAACCCATGTAAAATCTGAGGAGGACATAAATCCATGTTTTAGGTAAAATGGATCCCGATTCTTGACCGAAAAATCAACTCTATATTTTTACCCTGAAAGATATTCATGTGAAAACTTCATGCAAAGCTCTAAAAATTATTCAAGAAGTCGCTGATGGAAAACGTTTTTTTGTATCACTGGCTGGTTAAAGTTATTTATTGGTGGTATCAGAAAATTAAAGGACTCCTT